TCCATGTTTACTCTTCTTCTTCTTCTTCTGGGTATTCTCGCATAAAATTCTCTATTTTTCCAACTCTTCCCCATTGTGGTCCGTATTCCTCCAATTTGCTCCATTTCTTATTTTTCTGTCACAGTCGCTGTACACAATGATAACAGACACCATTTCCCCATTTCCTTTCTGATTTTCTTTGCAGCTTTTATTTGTCGGTCTCACTTCGTCGTCCATCTGTTTCTCAATCTAGGACACGTGTCAAATATGTCTTCTTTCCATGTCTGTCCCCCTCCCCCCCCTCTCTCTCTCTATGCATACGAGTTCAAGGTAACTAATATTAATAAGCGGATTTAATATGACCTTATACGGCTCTCTTTAATCAATACCTTCTTCTAGCCCTTCTTTAAACTATTTCTGTCTTATTTACGAAACTATTAAGTCTATGAAAGAAAAAATCTCTTCTTGAACTAAAAGACTTCCTTTTTGTTTAAGTCGGAAGCAGTTTATTTTGTGTATCATTATGTTCCATTAAATAGAAAAGAGGTTAATAAAATAATGTAATGCTATTAATAGTTTATTGATGAATCATCATATTCGAATGTTTCTTTTGTGTTTGCACCCCATGTCTCATCGTAAGAAATAAAGATTGTGTTCTTCAGCTGTAATAGCACTTGCCAATATTCCAAATGTATTCGAATTCGTTAAGAAATAGATTCTGAGGACCTTAGCTGATTGGTTTTTTGGTTTTGCTTTGACCACCGTAGCTTCCTACAAGCCTATTCTCAATACGGCATTTGCAGACGTCGGTCCAGTTGAACCAAACATTGTTTACTTAATCGTTAATAAGGACACCCTAAAATATCTCTTTCTCATAGGTTCTTCCGTGTGTGGGTCCAGAAACCCAAATTTTGGGCATGTTCTAAAGTCTGAATTGAACAAATTGTCGTCTGTACCCACGAGGGCCTTATAATTATGCATCTTTTAAGAGATAAGTAACTACAGTCATCATACATACGAATTCTCGTGGAGCCTACTTGGTTGTTCGCTATGGATTACAATGTTGAAATTTCGTTTGAATTTAATGCTGCTATGACAAGTAGAGGTGGACTGAAATTTAAATAACTAAAACCTCTTTTCGAGCCATTAAGTCTTACCTTGAACTCATACAGTTTTTAATTCGAATTTAAGTTTATAAAGTGCAGTTCAAGGCCTCGTTTCATAAACTCCACATTGCCACTAGCAAAAGGAATAATCGATTAAAAAAGCGAAGTTCAATATATTGGAGTTAAATTTTTCGGAAAAAATCGATATTTAGAGAAGACCAGCATTTAGATAGAAATCTGGGTAAAACTGATATAAATAACTTGCGAATAAATTCCCTAATCATTACACCAAACAGGAAATCGTTTGACAGAGCCGAAATTCTGAACTACTTTTAAAGTCGCGCAGATGACAATGATTGAGATTGCATAATAAAACACTGCCTGTCAAGATAAGTTTTTCTGCGTTTCTATTGCAAAAAAATACAGAGTGATTCTCTAACGGAGTTCATTTTCACTGTCTTACTTTATCATTTTGCATGATTAAAATATTCTGACGCTAGAGCTTTCAGTCGAATAAAAAGCGCCAATTTCAATAGGAAATTCTCCTTACAGAAATTGATTTGAACTGAATTTCCGCTGGTAATATCTACCTGTCAGAAGAAAGGCATCGTGGCTAATGAGTGAAGGAGAGGAGAAATAGAGATGCATTGCTGACTTTTTCTCCTGCAACACGCAAAATGTTTAAAAATAGCAATGTATTTGTATCCTTTGGGAATGCCAAGGAGATACTAGCTTCAATCTAACTTACTTAAACTATTTGTTTAAGTAAGTTACCCCATCAGTTTGATGCTACTATTTTCAAAAGGCGAATGGTGATCAGCAAACGAACTAGCCAAGTTAACTCTCTTTCTAATCTGCGATTCAATTGTCAAGGTCAACAATTGGAGGAAAGCTATTCACTTTAAGAGAAATAATAGCACAAAATATTCTCATAGGACCATTTTTGTTAGAACTTCCCACGTTGATTTAAGCTGTCCTGCTATTTCTGGAAAGTTGGATAAACAACAAATTTCTGCTTTGTTACCAGTTGCCGTTTTGATAAGCGTCAAACCATTTAAGCAATATGATGAATCAGGAAATAGGCTTGTGGCTCAATAGAGAAAATAAAGTTACTTAAATGGAATAGGAAAGGGGGTAAATAATTGGCTGACTGGTTGACAAATGCTGACAGTGATTGGCTCTTCATTGACTTTTTTGCATAAAAGTCGAATAAGGGGCAGTTTAGTAAATGATGAAATAGTTCACTCACTTTAATGCCCATGACGGTATGCGATTCTAACCACTATCGTTGTAAATGAAAATAGTGACATTGTGTCAGCATGACAACAATCGATTCTTCATTGGTAGCCTGTCTGTATTGGTATTATATAGCATTTCATTCTAATTTAGTGAAAGGACTATTAGAAACAGTATTACACTTTTGTGGTAAACACCACAGTATGCACAAAATTCGATTTCGTGTGTAAGTGTACTAAATGGAGAACACGATTACACTTGTAGAGGCATTAAGTAGTATAAAGCTTCATTGGAGAATTCACATTGCTGTTGTCTCAGGGATATTGTTAATTAAATTATATACCTTGTGATCTTATGACAAACTGGATGTCAACTATTCCTACCAGATATTTAACTTACAAATTTAAAATTTTAGCATTAAACTTTACACCTTGATTTGAAGGAACAGTGGAACGCACGGGTCGCTTGTGTGCATAATCATATTAAAACTTTCATATTTAATATAATAGTTTTCCATTGCATCACTAATATTTCATTTTGTGCATATTTTTCTGAAGGTCAGAAGTAAATTAACATCTAGTTTCAAAAATTATAAAATTGGGGGTTTGGAAATTTTTATTGGACTAACTGTGCTCGCACTCATTTTAGTCGCTGTCGGTACTACTCCAAACGTTTTGAAAAGTATTTTTTATGCACTATTAAGATCACTATCGGCAAAGGGATCTCATTTTTATTTTTTTAAAAATAGAATTCACAAATTTATTTTCTTTCCTGCTTTGTGGTGTTGGTAAAAGGTTGTGAAGACGATTGTTTTGTAAAAATTCGTAGCCAAACGCTGTTGATTCTAATTTACTTCAAGCGTTCATTGTAAAACGGGAAAATTTTATTTTGAATCCTTTTGTTGACTTTATTTTGCCGCGGGTAGCTCTTCTGTCTTCTTCATACCTATTTCCAGAGGATCGGAAGAACTAAAATAAGGTTCTATGGAGAGTTATACAAATGAAAGAGGAACATAAGCCAAAGGGGTGTCTGGACTCCCAAAATAAATATGACTGTTCGATATGTTTGAGCTAACACCTTATAGCAAATCAAATACTTGATGTAGCGGTATTCAAATCTTCTTGTTTATCAATACAAGTAAGCAAACCTTCATCATCGAGCACTTAAAGAGTAAATGTTTTTTTCTTATATCCTTTTTTAAAATTATAGCTTTTATAATTCTTTAGAACTACTAACTGTTAATAAAAACTTGTCTTTTAATTAAGTCTATTTATTAAAACACTCACACCCTTGCTTTGAGTATGGAGTGAAGTTGTTGCAAAATACGGAGGTATTACGCTGCACCCGACGTTGTCAATCACTGGATCAGCTCCATCTGAGACAGACTCTTGTCTAGAATTATATCAACTTCTCGGGGTGTGCGGTAGACTTACTTCCACATGGTACACCCTGGGAAACGTATACTCATGCAACAAAATAGTCTATAATCCGGCAGCTGAATTCGCACTTCAAATTACTATGACCCGACTGTATGTAATATTCCGCCACCACCACCACAATACTCATCTTTCCATTTCTCTGCCTTTGTGTCCCTCTTTCTCTTTACATCTGTAAATCACTCTTCTGTTCCCCTTTTCGAATTTTTCTCACGCTAATGTTCCTCCCCTCTGTGGAGCCCGAAGTCAACTAAAGGGCAAATGATAACTATCAAAACCCCTGCCATTTGAAATAAGTAGATAAATATCTACTTCTCTAGATTTTTTAAAGCAATATACTTTACAAATGGATCACTACCGTGCCTCAATGAAAGCTTTCGCCCAATTTTAACTCTTAAATTTTAATCCAATTTTGGCAGCAAAGGTCACAGCAAGTGTAATTTTCAAATATTTTTCCATTGACTATTCTCTGGGGGTGGGGGGGTATTTTGAATCAAAACGCCACTCAACTACTAATCATTCCGTCAATCACTTTGATATAATATATATAAGCATTTTTATTTAAAGTTCAACTAAAAAGAGATGCCACGGTCGTTGAAATTTCCAGGGATTTGTATTTTCCGCGTAAAAGCAGAAGCAGCAGCAGCAGCAGGGGCGAAATGTCACCCGAAAAACGAGGGGTTGGCAATTATAGGCTAAAATTGCCTTCTCGAATGAAAAATATATCCAGCAACAACGGCATTGGCTAAAAAAGTGACCTTATAACTCTTCCTCCAATTAATGATTGAAAATTAGTGAAGGAGTGGACATTTGTGATATTTTTTCATTTACAAATCAAAATTGCAAGAAAAAATTGTCGAAAGTAAAATCTTTCGAATCTGAGTATTTCATTAGATTCAGACATTTTAATTGGAGTAAAATTCCAACATGCCATCTTTAACTGCGTGTGATGGTAGATATATTTTTGCAAGGTTTATTCTTTAAAAGCTGTCATTTTAGCACACTTAAATGAAAACTAAAAATGGCATGTTTGATGGGTAAATGGTAAGCGAAGTAGAAAAATTCATAACTCAAAGCATCTAGACTATTATTTTCCTCTTAATTATCACATTCATCACTAAGCATGCACTTCTATTCAGATCAGGGGTGTGCGATATACTTACCTTCAAGTGGTGCAACCTGGGCAACGTATACTCATACGGCACAATAGTCTATAATCCGCAGTTGACTTCTGACTTCAAACTACCATCACCCCACTGTATGTCATATTCGACCACTTTCTCCGTAATCATCTGACCTTTTTTAACTCTGTTTCTGTTTCTTTTACATCTGTGAAACACTTTTATGTCCCCCCTCTCGAATTTTTCACTTTGATGTTTCTTTCCCTCTGTGAAGCTCGAAGTCAACTAAAGGGCTAATGATAACTATCAAAACGCTTGCCATTTGACATTAATATTCAGATCAACAAATAAAAAATTAAACTTTCTGATTAAATTTCAGATCATCCATCTTCTCCCCTCTGGCCCACATTATTTGCCATAAAGCTTTTCACAGCTTACAAATCAACGGCCCTGCAAAT